TAACGAAAGTGTGCATATTGATAATTTCGTTTTTTCTAATATGAATTATTTACTTCTACTTAGTAAGGGTTATAATCCCTAAGCGCGGCCGAAGGCCGCCTACGCAGAAAGAAGTTCTGCGGAAAACCGAAATAATGCATATAACAAAAACCCAAATAATGCATGCATGCACAATTTCGGTTCAAACCCGAAATAATGCATATGCGAAAGACGAATGTGTGCATACATGCACAGTTTCGGTTGAAAACCGAAATAATGCATGTAACAAAAACCGAAATAAAGCATACATGCACAGTTTCGGATGAAAACCGAAATAATGCATATGTGAAAGACGAAGGTATGCATACATGCACAGTTTCGGTTGAAAACCGAAATAATGCATGTAACAAAAACCGAAATAAAGCATACATGCACAGTTTCGGTTGAAACCGAAATAATGTCTAAATGCACAGTTTCCATATGCGCAATTTCGGTGCACCCTTTGACCCCTTATAGCATCTGTAATATATGTTTGCACATAAAAGTTATATACCATTTAAAGAAGAGGAAAAGGCGGACTACGTCGATAATTTTAGTTATTTAGTTATTTACATATAATAATAAAAAATTATTTTTTACCAAAGGTCGTATTTCGAAATTCGAAGGCCCGTATCTAGATTTCGGAGGCTAACTTCGAAAAACGGAGAACTTACTTTTTTACCTATGACTCAATATCTTGAAAAAAAATTGGTTTGGTCGAATACCCAGCCGAGTGCAGTACAGTGTAATGATTCCAGTATCTTCATTTATGTATATTGTAACCAGAGTTGGGCATTATTCGAATAAATTGTTATTTAGATAATTATTCGAATAAAATTTTATCCGTAATATTATTATTCGCAGATAACTTATTCACGAATATATTATTCGTGAATAAATTGCTTGCAAATAATTTATTCGTTATTTTATTCGTTATTTCAAATAATGAATAAAAACTAATTTTTAACACATTGAGCCACCTTTTACTTTTATTTCTATTGTCAAGGATTGTGAGTTAGCTGAATTTTGTTTACTATTTTATCAAGAATACTAGCCCATTCCCTCTGGTTTCGCGGCCCCTGATAAGATTTTTTGCGTTGGCCAATGCAAGAATAGCGTTGAAAACCAAATATGGGTAAAGTAAAAATTCTCACACATATTTCTGCCAAAAAAAATAGCGCTCTGATGCTATATGCAAAAAGAAATTCCTTTCAATGTCATGAGCTTTACCGATGGTCTTATTTCCAATTATGAGATCTTTTCTAAGCGTGCGTAATCTTCTTCTATGATCTTGCAACTACAACATTGGTCCGATGCGTCAACCTCTAGTCTTATGTCATGTAGGCCAACAAAAGTCCTTATAAGGAAGCTGAAGAGCACAGATGTGCGTTTTCTATTATAGGAGAGCCAAAAATCCTCGATGTAAAATTTGGCCATTGATATACCAACAGTGGTCTTTCTTGGAAGGATGTGGTCGAAACTTTCCTTGCTGATCCGCCACTTTTAAAATATCCAAGAACTGGTTTCCTTGAGTCTTACTGCTGCAGCAATGGCCGCCCGAGCAATTTCCTCAAGCGGAGATAGATGCAAGGTCGCATTCAGGGTGTATGACGACGTGAGACATCGTAAATTCGTATAATATAAACATACAAAACAAAGTAGTCCAGACATATGGGGTTTCTAGAGATTTCGACTGCAGCACCATTATGAATTGCAACCTGATTGTACAATAAGTAGGGATTTTCTAAATAACTCAACTGTAGCGCCACCTAGCGGGTCCATTTTTCGCATAAGTATTTTTCATCATGCAGGAAGAACACATTTTGAATTTGAACGAAATCAGTTCATAAATGCGGCTTTTATAAATAACTCGGCTCCATCGCTACAAAGGAGTTTTCTAGTAGCCTTTAATAGGACTTCATCCGCATGGAATAACCTCCGAAAATTTTATTTAAATCTATCCAGGGGTTTGAGTTAAATCGCAACAACGAAAACGGTTATCATTTTATACATAAATATATGTAGATATCTATATACATAAATTACTTGTTTTATTATTATTTTATTCGTTATTCGAATAATTAATGAAGATAATAATTATTCGAATAACGAATAAAATAATTTATCCGTCATTCGAATAATTTTTTTTTGAATAAACAAAATTATTTATTATTTACGAATAACAAGAAAAACAATTTATTCATTTGTTATTCGTCATTCGAATAAATTTTGCCCAACTCTGATTGTAACTATCAATATCTTATAAAGAGAAGAGTAATTTTTTTTTATCTAGAAGTAATAAAGTTAGAAGTACGAAATTCGAGGATGAGGTAGTTAACTTATTAGTCCTTGACATGTATTTTTTTTCAAAAATATTGGAAATTTCCAAGGATATTCAAGGATAAAGTTTTAAAAGGACATCTTAAACACTTATTTGTCCTGGTGCACCAAAAAAGTATTTTTTTTTCAATTCTACAGAATTTTTCCTTTTAATTGATACCCATTTTGTTACTCTACAATGCACCAAATCTTTTAAATAATTTTTTTATTCAATCATATCCTAGAAATTTCAAAGTCCTTAAAAAAAAATCCTGACGTCACAAGAGAAAAATTAAAAGCGCAGTTATACTATATTTGGCTCCTAGTTTTGTGAATATATTGATTTTTTTCGTGTGTTTTAAAAATTTTTTGTTTTTGTCGCACGGTGTAATAATGAGATTTTTGATGCTGTTTTTTTAATTTTTTTCAAAGATTTGTTTAATAAAAACTTGAATAACTGCTTCAAAACTTTACCGATATAGACTTATGATGTAGCACTGGAAAGGTATTTTTTATTTCTTAAAAAAAAAAAAACTCATTCACGTCCCAATTTTTTCAACCAACATTGAATGACACTCGTTTATCTTACATTCTTCTTTCATACTTTGAATAAGCTTATTTGCAAAGGAATGAAAAGGATGACATAAAGCTCTCGTTGTGTGCAGACGTGTTTTCTTTTTGCTCCGATTTTTATTTATTCTTTCGTAATGGCCAACTGCTGTAGTAAGGCGTTTTCGAGATCTGACGCGAATTTGGTGCCGTGTAATGGTTTTTGCCGGAAAACATTATTAAGAATTCAACGCTGAGCGGCCGCCGTGTTGAAAAAATCGTTCAATGTTACAATGAATTAAACAGTGTAAAATTACATAGCAAACATCTTGAAAACATATATTTAGAAACGTAGTATTATTATAAAATATTTTAGTTACTTTATCACGTCAGTAACATAAAATATAATAAATTTGTTTGCAACTGCCACCTAACAAAGCGGCGTTAAATTTAATATAAGCGGCGTAAGTCTTTTCGATCAGCTGTTTGGGCTAAGCCCAACACGTTGAGTTCAGGTAGCGTAAAAATTTTCCGCTGGAAAAAATGGCGGAAAGTTGCCAACTGTTGGGCTGAGCGTAACTACTCAACTGTGCGTTTCTAAGACAAATAGCCAACGGTTGGGCAACAGCTACGTCTTATAAACGCGCCCAATGTGGGTTTGCTGACTGCTGAGTTTGGTGCTAGTGCTTCGTACAACAACAATAATTACTGTTCATCGTCTGGTGCCCCTCATTCGTTTGGCTCTGAAAGCGTCTTGTCTGAGCGGCTCAGAGTGTTAACGTCATCGCTCCCGCTCGCAAAGTTGATTCTGGCGGGATTGCTAGTTCTAGTGGCTCTAAAACTGTACGTCATGTTGACGGCCTCATGGACATTGCGGGTACTACTACCACCACGGAGCCATCAACACCGTGCACTGCTAATGCTTCTGTTGCTGCTAATTCATCTTTACTCGCTCCTGTAATTGTGAACAATATTTCTTCTGCTGGTTTCCCACCTGTTTCACAACATATACCGACTGGTGGTGTTAGTGCTGAATCTGATGCCGTTAACGCTACGGGCGCGGAAGTGCCTAATCCTCCTTATCCTACCCGCAGCCCTGTTTGGCTTACTGCTGAGAGTAAAAGGACAAAGCACATCCAAAAGCGAACTCGCGTGGTGGGATCAAATGATTGTAGTGATCTTGGCGTGGCTGCCCGCTTTAAGTGGTTGCACCTTCCATCTTTCGTGCCAACCGTTCTGTTCGGCCGTTCCGTTTTTTTCACAGAGGGACAAAACTAACTCATCCGAATTAGTTCATTTGCCCTCGAATGCGCCTGATCCCGTAGTATTGGATATTAATAAGTTTAGTTGTAATGCATATTTAAATGTTAACAGGCAGAAATATAATTATAGCTCTTTGAAGGTTTATTTTCAGAATATTTCTGGCCTTCGAACTAAATCAGCAGCAGTACGCTCTATTAGCTCGCAAAGGGATTTCGATGTTTTTGTTATTGTTGAGTCATGGCTAAATGCGGATTTCTTTGATGAGGGATTTTTTGATTCAAACATTTATAATGTCTTTAGGAAGGACAGGGAGGCAACTAAGACTGGTTGTCTGAGAGGCGGCGGAGTTCATATTGCGATTCAGCGTAAATTTCATTCGTTCTCTGTCTCGCTTGAAAATGATGATTCCCTTTTGGATCAGCTTTGTGTTCGCATCAGTGCCTCATCTAGTCATGACTCTGTTTTTGATTATTTCTTATATCCCGCCTATTAGTAATTATAATCTTTATAAAGCGCATTCTGACAACATAATGTCTTTAGTATTAAATAAGCTAGGAGATGACCACCTTTGGTTGTTAGGCGATTTTAACCTTTGCAATGTATCTTGGTCCACATCTTTTTCCAATGCTGGTCTCTCGCCAATTAATGTCAATGCGTCCCATGAAGTGTTCTTTATAGATAGCCTCTAAAGCCTTAATTTATTACAAATCAATAATTTTGTTAACAAGTTGGATAGAATTCTTGACCTCATATTTATTAGTGATAACATTAAGTGTAACATTGAAGTTTGCCACAATCCGATCACTCCATCTAATATGCATCATGTTCCTCTGTTACTAAAATTTGAATTTTATGTATTCCCGTCTTTCAATGCTGATGACAAACCTAAGTTTAATTATGCAGCCTGCGATTATCCCAAGTTAGATAGATTACTGGATGAATTAAATTGGGAAAGCTTACTCTCTTGCCCCGATGTAGCTAAATGCATCGCTACTTTCAAATCTGTAATTTCTGATTTTTGTTTTAAATTCATTCCAATAATCAGAAAAAGACCCTATAAAGAACCGTGGTATAATCGTGACTTGAAAAAACTGAAGAATCTTAGAAACAAATTTTATAATAAGTTTAAGGCCTCTGGAAGTCAGTTTTTCTTTGAAAAATATCAGGTCCATCTTAAAAAGTTTAACTGCTTGAATAAATTCCTCTACAGAAATTATATCTTAGGCATTGAATCCAATATCAAAGAAGATCCGAAATCGTTCTGGCATTTTATTAAGTCTAAGAAGAACAACTCTAGTATTCCCTCAGCTGTATTTTTTGAAGATAAATGTGCCTCCACTCCAGCTGAAGTTGCAAATCTATTTGCTGCATTTTTTAGTTCTAATTTTGTAGATGATAACCCTACTGTGGATTCTAGTTTCTCTGCTAGTGTGAGTTCTACTAATTTTGGCTCGCTTAGACTTTCATCTGACGATATTGCTAATGGCATTTTAAATCTATCAGCTTCTGCAAAACAAGATATTGATGGGCTCTCTTCAAACTTTATAAAGAAGTGCCCTGCTTTGATCTCTCCTTTAAAAATTATTTTCAGTAGGTCTCTAGCCTCCGGTATTTTTTATGATGAATTGAAATTGACTTCAATTACCCCTATTCTTAAAAGTGGCGGCAAAAGTGATGTCTGTAATTACAGACCCATTTCGAAACATTCAATAATTTCCAAACTTTTTGAAGTTATCGTCAAGGAGAAAATTTATTTCGCAACAAAAAGTCTAGTCTCACCCAACCAACATGGTTTCGTCCTCAACCGATCTACGGTTACTAATCTAGGCGTCTTTAGTGAGTATTGTATTGCAGCTATCTCGAACGGTTTCCAAGTCGACTGCATTTACACTGATCTTGCCAAAGCATTTCATAGAGTTTCGCATAGTTTGTTGGTCAGTAAGCTAGCCTCAGTGGGTTTCCACTCAGTATTTTTGCAATGGCTCAAATCTTATTTGTTTATTTGGTTGTTCTTCGGAATCTTTCATTGCCTCATCGGGGGTTCCTCAAGGTAGCATTTTAGGTCCCTTACTCTTTGTATTATTTATAAACGATGTGAGTTCTTGTTTTTCATTTGCTAAATTTTTGCTTTATGCTGACGACTTAAAAATTTTTGCTGTGATTGAAAATTCGCATGATGCGCTTAGACTTCAGTCCGAGATTAATATTCTACATAGTTGGTGTCTCAGCTCTCGCCTTTCTCTGAATATTAAACAATGTTTTCAAGTTACTTTTTCCAAAAGTCACAGTATTCTTTCGACATCTTAAGTAATCTCTCAAACTCAACTTCAAAAAGTTCAACAAATCAAAGACCTTGGTGTAATTTTCAGCTCTAATTGGTCCTTTAACAGTCATATCAGTCACATCATTTCTAAATCTTACGCTGTACTTGGTTTTCTCAGGCGTCAGAGCTCAATGTTCTCTGACCCCTATACACTTAAATTGTTTTACACATCTTTTGTTCGTTCTAAGTTAGAATATGCTTCTTTCTTTTATCTGGAGGCCATACCACTCAAACCTAATTAATAGGATTGAAAGGGTTCAAAAGGTTTTTCTTAAATTTGCCCTAAGAAATCTTAACTTCAGCGAGCCAATTCCATCGTATAAGTCTCGTTTGCTATTAATAGACCTTAAATCTCTGGAAGCCAGAAGATCTTTGCTATCTCTAACTTTTACGTTTAACTTAATAAATCGTGTGATCGATTGCCCTACGCTCCTAGAGCAGGTCAACTTCAATGTTCCTCTAAGGAATCTTCGCAATCCTCTGCCGTTTTATGGAGGAAATTGTAAAACGGAGTATGCCAGAAATGCTCCAATTTCAAGAGCTTTAAACGAATTCAACACGATCTCGAATTCTATCGAACTGGATTTCTCTCTTCCAAAAAGTTTATTTATTTTATCTTTGATCTCGAAACTGTAGAGTGCTTTATGTTTTACACGTATCGTCTAAGTACCTAATTTTTATCTGTAGTCTGTAAGGAACGTTTGTTTCATATGACTGCAATAAATTACAAAAAAAAAAAAAAAAAAAAAAACCTTACCTCATAAGTCTAAATTGGTAAAGTTTTGGCTGAATTATTCTAGTTTTTCTGAAACCAGTCTTTGAAAAAGTTCATAAACAGCATAAAAAATCTCATTATTATGATTCCGTTGAAAATTTTTAAAAATATTTTTATACAAATTTTTTAAGCTTCAACTGTTTTATCATCTGAGGTGATTTTTTCAAAAAATACTTAAAAAAACTGTTTTTATTAATAAAAAACTAAATTTTTGGAGGTATTTTCAAATCGGTCTAGCTCACGTAAATCTTAATATTTTTCCCAGCGATTTTGGTGGAAGTCTTAAAATATAATTTTAGATAAAATATAATTTAAGATTTTATAGTTCCATTGGAAAAACATTACCGATTTTTTTTTGTTTGGGGAGTGATGCAGTCTAATGTACATAAATATACATACATATGTATGTATGTATGTATGTATTTTCCATTAAAACTATGGATGACCTTGCAAATGTGAGTGCAAAAGTAGAAGAATTACTCTATAGATTGTTGGTATGTTGGTAATAATGCATGACTTTCGTTTCCTCTTTCTAATCATCATGCAATCCAATTGGGACGGAGCCAAGATTTTTAAATTGGCTTCATTGAAACTTTTGGATATCTATTTTTTTAGTAATATAGCAAGCTGTCTAATTTGCGAAATGTAAAAAACTAGTAATTATTTTCAATTACAGAGGCTGTTCGCAACGAAAGTGTGGGCAAAATGCAATATGAAGAGTCCATGAAGAAAGGGCCTTCATTTAGTCAAGCAACGCGTCAATAAAGCTCGTTTAAGTCTAAGCATTAATAACTTACTTTATATTTGTTCCAATAGTTTTTTCCGAAGAGAGGAATTGACATTCGGAATGTCAAAATAGCATAAAATTTAGTATTCATTATTATTTTTTTGAGATATTAAATAGATGAAAAACTAACAAATATTGTCCAATTCACGGTCAAGAACTTTGCCTGCTTTAAATCAAATACATTAATCAACGAGATAAACATACCACAGTGTAGAGGAATAAATTCACTACATAATTGCAGTGGGAAGCTTCGGCCGCTGCTTATCACTTTCGCGTAATCGATTGGTAAATTTTTTCTATGAAATATAAGCAGGAAATAATGTTACTCATACGCCATGTGCGAGTAGCTAAACGTAAAGGAAGACGATAACAATTGATTGCGGCAATTCCTTCCTCTACAATATGGTATTTTTATGATTTTGCATTTGGTTTGACTTAGTCTGAGATGAATTTGACAGGATTTGTTAGAATTTCATTTATTTAATAATTCGAAAAAGATAGAGCTCATTTTAACACCATTATTGGGCTAGGCCTAGAAGTTGCGGAACGGGTGACAGTTTAAAAAAATACAGTTTAAAAAGGCGGACAGCATTTTTAAAGAGACCAATTAAAACAAGTACTAATCGGCACATTTTTGGCAAAGTTATGGGTATTTAAAAAACATAGGACTTTTTTTCATAAATCGATATATCGCGAACAGCTAGACAAAAAGATTGTAAAAAAATCGGGGAGGCTTCTCTGTAGTGTAACATAAACATTTATGAAAAATATCGGAGATACAAAAGCCAAAAAAAGACATTTCGGTGCTGAAATACCCCATATTAGGAATGTTTTTAAGATATTGTTAAGATTATCCTTGACTACTTGACGGATTTACCAAAAATCTCTAGGTTCGTATCGCTGGATTGTTAAATAAACGCTCACGACGACCAAATTACAAAAAACACTTCACAATACTTGTTTATGCAACAATAACAATCAACAATAGTTGTTAAGGCAATTAAAACACTTTACAAAACTTGCTAACACAATTTATCTAACTTGCAACTAACTTGAATTCCACTGTGGTAGCGGCTTTATATACCTGCGCTCGAACTCATGGCAACCCTAGAACATTCTGCCGTCTATCGCTCATTCTCTCGCAGTTCGCAGTATTCATCCACTTGACGTTTCTCACTGTCGAATATTCTACGTCATTCCGCGAACATTCTGCCATTTTCTTGTTGTTCGCTTTGAGTTGCCGCAGTATTCGCTACACTGCCCTCCACCTAAGTCTGATTGTCCCGATCAGACACACTTGCTGTTCCAATTACTGCAAGCCTTTCCAAGTGGACTACCTTCATCTTGGTTCTCGGTCTCCCAACGGTCTGGATTCGATACACTGCGTCATTCAGCCGTTTGAAATCTTATACGGACCTTTCCAGTTACGTCGTAGTTTGGAGGTGAAACCTTTCTTCCGCTGCGGCTTGTACAACAACACAAACTCGCCTTCCTGGAAACCCTCTCGGCTCAATGCATTACTGGACATTGCTTCCGGCTTATCTCCGGGAGTGCACCATCTCACATGGCTGTGCTTCTGCCGGTCAGTGGTGGTGACCAGACCATGTTTCTTCTCATGGGCACCCTTTTCGCCGGATTTACGCCGCTTCCTCTGGCCATGACTACCAGGCTTTTAACTTCGAGCTGCACTGCATTTAGTATATCTTGCTAAATCCGGATCCTCACGCTGAAACTTGCCTAGTGTTTCCGCATCTCGCTCTTCCGCCGACGTCAACTTCATTGAGCGGACATGTATAACCTCATCCCTGGCCTGAGGCTTTAATGCTTGTCTTTGCATACTCGGCCGACCACGACCTTTTCCTGGATAGCGCGCTCGCTGCTTCCACAGCCGCCCCCATTTCCGGCTACCGGCGCATCACCCTTGTAACGTAGTTTAGTGGATCTCTTCTTGCCGGAAACACTGCCTAGCTTGCCATGATCACTTCCTTTTTCTGACTTCCTCTTCTTCACTGAGCTGGCGGAACCGTCATGCTTTTCCTGTCTCGGTGAACCACTTGCTTCTCCTGATGAAACCACTCCGTCTTCTTCACTGCCAACCTCTACCCAACTAACCGCTTCCGTTGCTGGTGGAATCTTCGGCCAGAATGTAGCTCTCTCAAGAAAAGCAAAAACTCCATATAAAATGACGTACAAGAAATGGCTAAGAAATTTTCTTGTATCAAATTTCCTTAAGGCAGTACGCAGTTCTTAACAAAAATTGCTACGCTTTCTAGCACGGTTTTCTAAAGTTTTTTTTTGTGAAAAACGAGCACAAGGAAACCGATGTTTGCAACAGAAATATATTCGCGTTCCATTATTTCTTTCATTATTTAACAGGATGTCAAGTAACAGATGTCCAAGTTCCTTGGACATACATACGAAATAATGGAAATTTTTTCTTGTCCGTTTTCGTGAGAGCTGCATACTGGCTTTAAGTTGTAAAGGGCAAGAAAAAAGCCCTTATTCCTGATAATATGAAAGTTTTAAACGTTTCATATACTTTGTTTATACCGAAACATAAAGCGCTTTAACCCACTTCGCCGTGATTCAAAACGTATGCATAAACCAAATTTCAATGCGCTCAGAAATTCAAAAGTGTATTGACTCGAATTTGTTTTCAAATCGGTTTTTTAATTCTCACATCGGTTAGAAAACAGGTATAAACGTATCAATAGTTTTTCTTTTTTGTTTTAGTGCCTTCTTTTGCATTTTTGCCATTTCTAGTGCCTTTTCCTGCCAATTTCGCTATTTTATTTTGCCTTTTCTGGCCTATTTCATTATTTTATTTTTCCCATTTTATAGGTTTTTAGGTACTAAAAATCCGTTCCCTGCTAATTAGTAATTAAAGTTAACAAGTTTTATAGATATTTTTCATTATGAAAAGAAGAACAACCTATTTCTATTTTCAACACAAATGCTACCCGATGCACTAAGCATTCTGTGTGAGTTCACTGAGGAAGGTGATGCGCAGATAAAGTACTTCATTGCCAGTGTAAACAAATTTGGAAATTCTTTGCGGCTATGCTTCCACCAAATTAAAGGATTTTCTTGTCGTTTGACTATCAACATCCCTACAAAAACTGCAATCAGCATCAGAGCCGTTGCCAAATATCCTGGTGAACTCCCTCTTCAATAGAAGCTTTATACAGTTTTTAGCTTTATTGCTGTCAGAAAAAAACGAGTTTTGAAACTTGAGTCACAAAATATTGCCAACAATGAAACATTATGGGACGATAAGGGAAGCAGGACAATATGTAAGCAAGCATAATATGTAGTTCGATTTTCATCACATTTTTTAATAAATATACATCAACCACGGGTTTTTGCTTAGCGGTGTTCATTGCTTTTTTCTTTTGTCTTTGACGTTTCTCCTCTATTTACCAAAAATATTCCACAAATCAGGGTTGCAGACGGAAAAGTTATCTTTTTAATACAGGATTATTTTATAACTCGAATTTCAGGGAAACTTTTTCTATTCTTAATTACAACGTATTGGATAGTTAAGCTCGAAAAAGTAGATAATCTGGTCGTAAGTATGTCGCTAAATAAAAAACCATAATACATATAACAATATCCAGGCAGGTCCTGCTATTCACTTCCGAGTGAATTTCAATCAAATTCGCTTTGACTTCAAATTGGCAGTGGTTCAAATTCACTCGGAAGTGAATTGCAGAACCTGCCTGATTGTGAAATTTATAAAGGGCTTTTATTTTCACATGGTATCCGGAATCCGGTTATCCAGCAAAATCTCTATCCGGCACATCCCTTATTTTTACTATCGGCGTATATGGGCAAATGTAAAAAACAGCTAACCTTTGTGTTATTTAGCTTTATTTTCACTGCTGTAAACTATATCAAGCTGGTTGCGTTTGGATATAATTCATAGACGTATACTTGAAGCCTCAAAAAAATTTAGAATCAATTTGTTGCATAACTTTTAAGTTATAGATGTTTTCATTCAAAGAGATATTAAAAACTAGTGAATTTTTTTGTGTAATTTTTAAGAGGTTAAAGAGTGTAAAGAAAAGGTGCAAAATTTGAATGAAAATTTGCAGAATTTTCTTTAATTTTACACAAGGTTTGGAATTCTGATTTGTGGGGTTTCTGTTGTAGAATTAACCATATTTTTATAAAAAATTAGCGAAAAATAAAATATTTAATAAACAGTTGCCCGCATTGCAAAAAAACTCTCTGTACCTAAACTTTATTGATTGACTGTAGTAATTTTTAAAAGAAGGCTTAATAGCCAAAACTGCTTAGAATTGATTTTCATGAAGGTACTGAAAATCGGACACGGTTGTAGTGGAATTATTTTATTTATTACAAATTTTCAGCGAAAATGCTACAAATGTAGACTACAGAGAATAAGAAGGTTAAATTTAAAAATTGGAGCATTGCATTTAATACAAAATAATGTTGCTGCCCTTTCAGGTTCTTTCCTGTTTCTATTTCACCTTAAATGGATTAAGGGCCGTTTTCTCAAGTAACCTGTAACTTTAAAGCTCACTTTATATTTAAAGGTTGCATTGAAATTTATGATTGTGTCTAAAGTAAAGCATTTTATTATCGGGTTTAAATTGGTTTACAACCAAAAAACATACATACGTCAAAAACCGATAATAGAAATGCTTAACTTTAGACATTGCTTTATTTTTAATCCAACCTTTAAATATAAAATAAGCTTTAACATTAAAAGTTACTTCAGAAGACGGCCCTAAAAAGGATAATTACAAACTGAAAAACAGGCTCTATTTATTACCCGTATGTATTGTTAAAGCAATTGTTAAATGCAGTAATCAATTTTTAATTGATAACACTGAATAACTGCCTTATTCGTCCGATTCAGACCGATTAGTTATTCCCCGGAATTCTATTCTGACTTTCTTATTACGCCTTATTCCGTTTTATTCTATGCGTCATTAATATACTTATTCCAGCTAATTCTCCTCTATTCCGTAAATATCCTTACTCTGCCTTATTCCGACATATTCGGAGTGTCAATAATATGGCCGTAAGTGGTTGAGGAGCATGGACGTGAAAAGTGACTTATTTCAGAACTAACTAGTTACTTTTAGAAAGTCAAGAAAACTTGTGATCGCTTTAAATCCTTAAGAAGAGATAGCATGAACAAAATATTAACTCATATTCGTGGTCTTGACGGGTTGCAATGCAAAAAGAGAAAGGAAAGAAGCAAAGTGCTATAACGAGGCACACAGAAACAGAAACTATCTTTTTCGACGAGATTATTTTCCAATTACAGTCATTTCATAATCCCAAAGATTATGAAAATTACGTAGCTAAAATGTCCTATATCTCCATAGCTAAGAAAAGTATTAAATGGTTCCAAAAAGTTTCTTTCGCGATTCGCAAAATGTCAAGCATTGAATTAATTTTTCGATAAAAGGGTCAAAATAGTTCGAGTATTATCTTAACACCATCTGATCCTAATGCAGTGCAAATGTCTGGAAATTGAACATTTTGTATTCCCGGCAAGTAAAGCGAGAAATTCGAAAAGTTGGTGAAAATAAATTTTTTCCCAGGTTTTATCTCTGCGGAAAAATGGCCTCAATCTTCTTTATATATAAACTAAATCCCGGGGATGGAAATAATAGAAACTCCTTTTCTTGACCAGTATGGGCTATATTTCTTTTTTTGATTTGATAATTACTATTTTTTTATAAATGTCTAGCTCATTATACATATAACACCGCGCGATAGTAAATTTTAAACACAAATATCAATATATTCGCGAAATCATGGGCCAAATATAGTAAATTTGCGTTTTTAGTTTTTCACTCTGACGTCAGTAATTCAAAATTGATTTAAAAAATTCAGAGAAATGTGCTTACAGAAAAAGTATGGGTATCAAATTAAAGAGGAAACTCTGTGGAATTTAAACAGAATCAAGTTTTTGGTGCAGAAGGATTGGTAAGTATTGAAAATGCCCTTTTAAAATTGTATCCTTGCAATTTCGCAATATTTGTTTTTGAAAAAATTATATGTTAAGGACTTATATAAACTCAATAACATCCTGGAATTTCGTCCTTCTAACTTTATCAGCTTAAAAAATTACCTACCTATTCGTTCTTGTGAATCCAAAAAATTTTAATTATTTTAAATTCTAAAGAAATTTCCTCTTGCATTTGGTACCCATATTTTTATTCTACATTGCATTGAATTTGTTAAATAATTTTTGGTATTAATCATATCTTTGAAATTATAAAGTCCTTTAAAATAAATCCTGACGTCAGAGAGAAAAAATAAAAACGCCACTTTAAATAAAAAAGCAGGTTTCAAACCCATCTATTTATTATTTATTTTATGGTAGGAGAGCTTCTCAAACAATATAGAAGCAAGTTTTTCGATTTAAGTTGTTGAAAAGTAATGAATATCCAAATCCCAGGACTAATCCCGGGGTCCCGGGATTGTGATAGCGACATCGCGAAAATCCCGGGATCGGAAAAAGCTGAAAAATTAAAATCCTTAATATAAACCCATCGGATTAGAGCGTTTGGGGCTGTATGCCAAGCAAACTAAGTAGGTAACATAAATAACATGAGCTTGGATAATTTCAAAAAGAACAAAAATATGGGACGAAATATCAAACGGACCCGACCGTGCCTCCTGCGAAAATTTTCTCAAATGTTCAAAGCAAGCCCTGCAAATCAAGGGTAAGAGGATTGAAATGAATGCTTAAAATATGTCGTAAAAAGTTTATATCGTCGCTGCGCCAACAAAAACAGTTATGTAATTTTTTTTTTATTTTTTTATTGCATATTTTATTAACACTATAGGGTTATTCTCCAAATCTTGCAAAGCCGTTGCACGTAGCACGGATTGCATTACTTGCAAACACACAACAAGAAAATATATGGGAAATACCATTTCCTATCGCTGCAAAATATGCAATGTCGAAACCCATGTATATATTTTGCAAAAAAGCATAGCAAAATAAATGCGACCCTTTCTAGTTGTTTTGTTGTTGGATTGCTACATATTTCTCTCATTCCTCTCATTTCGCTCACCTCATTTTTTTGCTGTATCTTGTTATTGTATTTGATACAGAATTTCGCTGCTTGCTACCTATGCATGCTACTACTTTGCAATGGGGTGCTCTCGTACTCTTCCAAATTTGGAATAGTATTTTTGCATTTCGTGCAATCTTTGCATCGTGCAAGACTTCGAGAATACCCCTTATCGATTGCCCACATTACTGCATTTGCCGTTCTGTTATATATGTATCTTTTGGTTTAGAACTGACAAAAAACAGCTATGTGCCCGCAGTACTAAAAATACTCTGAAAAAACGGGTATACGCTTACTTGCTTATAACTGTTTTTGATCGCAGGCGAATCTGATGAGTGTGCTTTGATTTCAAGACTTCAGATTCGTGTTCAGCGACCCCAAAAACATGTCATAGACTAAGTTTGGTCAAAGGAACCTTTCATCGATTTTTTTTTTTTTTTGTGGACCTGTGTTATCAATTACACACCAATGGACTACATAAGTCGTATGTGACAGGTGAGGCCATCACATCCTTATATCGTTAATTACACAGGTCCACAAAAAAAATCGATGAAAGGTACCTTTGGCCAAACCTAGTCTATTGTATGTTTTTGGGGCGCTGAACACGAATCTGAAGTCCGTTTTGCTCCATCACGTCTGAATTTTTTTCAAAGATGGAGCAAAACGGACTTCAGATTCGTGCTCAGCGACCTCAAAAACATATAACAGACTAGGTTTGGTCAAAGGAACCTTTCATCGATTTTTTTTTGTGGACCTGTGTTATTTAGAGTATACAATTTTTTAATTATGAGAGTGCTCCTGGTAACTTTACAACTATAAGGCCACGTAAAAAACCTGGGGAAGCACCAGTAAGCAGTATCAGAGAATTGCTTTATGTAAATGGTGAAGTCAAATTCAAGTTGCGTCATACCGACTGCTGGACATCATTGCCACAAAAACGAGCTCTGTTATTACATCAATACGAAACGGAGCTAATACAACAGACTTCAAACGTTAAAGCAATATATACACAAAGATTTCCGTTCGTTTTATGATTACTATTTACTGCGTTATGCAAATTTGCTTAATGTATACAAATGTGAAAGCATTTAATAAAAATTCAATTATAATTATATTGAAATTATTTCTTGTATATGGGCAATTCTCAATTATTTAGTTCGAACTTTCGCATGATTCGCCAGTTTTTCTTCGGACACATAATTTTCGCTGGTTTATTAACACAAATCAGGTTACATAAAATATTTACCAATAATTTTCTTAAGATATTGTAACAAAAACTATAGTTTGGTTTTAATTTTTTAGCTATTTCAATAAAAATTCAAAATTTGTTTAAGGAACTTTTTATTTATATGGTATTTGAGATGATATTAACGACATGTTCTCGGTTTTCTTCAACCAAAAGCGAAAGTGATGAAACTAAAAGCAACACTGAAACTTCATCATTCGAAAAAAACTTCAACTGGAGTTATCATAGACAAATACAGTAACTCAAACAATCGCTTGGCTTTTTTTTTAATATTCTCAATGTTTTTCAAGTAAATTATAGTTTTCTAACTTTTATTACTTTTTTTTGTATAAGAATATTGCTTGCGCTTTAACCAAACCCATAATAATCAAAGATTCAAGCAATTTTCGACATTTAAAAAAATTTAAATGAATTTGGACAAAATTTCGAACTTTTTAAAACAATTTTGGGTTGCAGTTTTATAGCCAATACCATTTTAGTATAACAAACAGTGTGCAGCTAAAAATTTCTGTTGATTAAAAAAAAAAAATTTTCCCGCCGGTTTTTTGTGGTGATTTTTTACTTTGTTTTGTGAACAATCACCGGGTGTAATTACATGCCTATCCATTTTTTCTTTTTACTTAAAGAATCATTTAAAATATTAGGCAATAAAAGCTGCTCATGATTCCAGTAAAATGAGTTTTGAATGGAGCACGATATGTTCGCCTTTTATCGATATACATACGTATGTATGTATGTGTGTACTTTTAAAACGTTCAAAAATTAATGCAATAAAGTAGACTACACTTTTGGAAAGAAATTTGTCATATAAAATTAACTACGAAAAATAAAGCGGGAACTAAACTTTATTTGTTTATCAAACAAAATATTTTACCAAAAATCTACCAAAATAAGAAAAAACTTACCTTTCTACCAACCCAAATTTTTTCTACCAATTTTGGTAATAATTTACCAAAGTGGCAACCCTGCATGGCAGGCTTATGTGCTCTCATTAGAAGATAGTTAAAAAAAAAACAACTTCTTGAAAAGGTTACGATGCGTGCACAAAAGTAAAAATGCATATTTTTTATTAGCACACCTTCTGGAATTAGATAATTTAGCCAAATACGTGTGTGCTCTATTGTACAATATACCATTGAACTATGATCCTCGTGCACCACTTTTTATTTGTTCATTAAAAAGTTACAGAGCGAAAAAGAAATAAGAGAAGCCCAAAAAAAACAATATATATAATACCAAAGGCATTTTTTGTCCATGTCATCAAATCTGCACCGTTAGTTCGATTTTCGAAAATGAGGTGTCAAATGAAAGCGCTTGGGCTGTAGATGCTAGGACTTACCGTTGATTTTTGGCAGTTTATGTTCGGAAATTTTTTTTTTCCTTGCTAAAATTTAATGGGCTACCAAGCTTAATACCAAAATTTGATCAGGAAGTTAGGACATTTTGGTCAAACTTTGCAGAATTTTCATAATTTTGCACAAAGTCTGAAATTTGGATTTATTTCGTATTTGTTAATTAACAAGCTATATTTTCATAAAAAAATAATAAACTTTAAATAGAATATATAAAAATAGCCAAAACTTACTAAAAAGTCCCGTCCCAGTTTTTATTTGGTTCGCTGTATGTGTATCTCTGTAATCGATTAATCAATTTGAACCAAACTCAGTACAATTATTGACATTGGTACAAAAAGCTATAAGTTGAAAATTTTCGAAATCGGACTAAAATAACGCTCACTTTCCACTTGCAAAAAAAAAAGCAAAAAACGTTAATAGCGTTTAGTGCGTTGCTTTAAAACGGTGCACAACGTTGCATTTCGTATTCTAGCAGCAAGGAACGTATACTAAAAATTTCAGACATGTGCTCACGATTTGAAAAAGAAAAACAATTTTCACAAAAAAATTCGAAGTTTCTGAGAAATGCCCATATACGAGCTTTTATTGGATATCACCCATCGAATCTTTGAAAAAGTGCATTGGGTGAAGTTAATACGCTGACCGAAAAAACAGTTCGCATCTCTGGCAATTTCATGCTTTGTACAATATACCTATGTGTCCACTCACCACTTTGCATTAATTTTTATTACAAAAATCCAATAAAAACGTTTCTGACCATTTTTCATTACATAACAGGAGCAACGGGCAACGGCCTAACGGCAGTATTATGTACAAATTGCATACGATAAAAACAGCTATGTGCTTTAAAGAGGCGCAAATGTTGATCACGTCGTAATTGGTTAGAAAAATAAATTTTTTTTTCATGAATCAATAACATACTTTTAATATAACTTTTTTTTTAATACGATATTTGCAAAATATTGCCTATTGGCACCAGGAATCAGTTTTTTTGCTCTCCTGAAAAGTTATTAAAAAACACATTACTGTTTTGGTTGGTTTGTGAATGAATCATTAATTAATCGAAATAAAGCTAGCCACATCGTAATTCAAAAAATTAAGTGTGACAGTTATTATTTTAAAAGCTGTAAATATTTTGTTCGATGTATGTTAGCAAATCAAAAACATTAATTTGTAATTATGGAAGGAAATGCGTATATTATATTTATATTACAAAAACTTTACCTGTAATCTAACCTCATTCCAACCGGAGCGCACTTTGCATATATCTATGCAGTCAAAATAGTTTAATACATCCTCAAACGAGATCCAAAACACCCCTTCTGACGCACCGTGTGGCATTAATACCTCTCGTAAATCTTCTGTCCAGAGCTCTGAATCGTCGGACCAATCTCCACGCCATGAGTAATGACCCCAGGGATTGCGTAGTTTTAGTAAACGATGTCCTTGAATATCTCTAACGTCTAACACGGAGTACGCATGCCTAGGGCGGAGACCCTTTCGTTGATATTCGTCTTCATCTACCTTCATGTTTCCTCCGCCACAACTAGCGCCCATCAGAAATCGAACACATCGAGAACTCAGCAGTTGCGCCCAGATCAAATCCTTATCTAATTCATCTTCACTAGGCATTGGTAGCGAACTTGCTTGCAAAGGAATGCTTTCGCAAGGTGCTCCCGTTAAGGTTGCCAAGCCTTCAATCGCGCGCCCAGACACGAGGGCTTCATAACATCCGTGAATTTTCGCGACAGCTTTTTCGATTAAAGGGACCCAAAGTTGTTTTCTTTTAGCTTGTGAATAAACAAGGTGGCCGCGTTTATCACAAGGTAATAAATCATCAACCAATACTGTTATCCATTTGCCATCTTTGCATAGGCGTACCTGGTAGGCTCCTTGCAAACATATTTCTTTCGTCACTAACACTTCTCGAACTAGATCTTCACGTTCTGCCAATACAGCAAGTGCACTGAGTAACCAGCAATTTCCTAACACACCTTGACATATATCCGACGGAAGGGGAGTCCTAAACACTGCCCAAGGGGGAAAAGTCCCCCCTTCAAAATTTATTTCATGAGGACGTCGCCATTGCACAACTGGATTACCATCAGGGATGCTATTTGTTGGATTGTAATACAGACTCTTAGGTGCTGGAGGAAATGAATCATCAACGAAAAGTTCATTGTTATCGCTACAGTACTGAATAATGTTTTTCCACTTATTTAGAGCCTCATTTTCTTCATTTTGTCTTAAATTTTCCATTAGCTTGCTTTCCTGCCGAATGTCCGTAACAATTTTTCCAGACATTGGGAATGTGACCTCATTTAAGCTGCTGGCTAACCCTCTAGGACTGGAGCACATGTCGCAAACAACCGATGCAGAGCAGTTTTCATATGTGCAAGCTGGACACTGCCACATTTTGGATGGAGTAATACTACTGATTCTGCTTGAAGTGGTTGCATGCTGGCTGCCTGCGCAATGTGATGCTGGCGGCGAAACGGTAGTCATATCAGCACCCACATTCCGCGTCGATATACTACTGCCCGTGCTGTGCCTCTTAGGTATTGCCCCTGATGAACTCCGAACTTGTTTTGGTGATGGGCTTCTCGACACCTGAGTAGAGTTCGGCTGTAAATTGACTGTGTTTACAACAGGTTGCGCAAACGATGGGTGGACTTCTACAGAATTAGAAGCAACGACTTCTGTAATCAAAAAATGTATGCTCACAAATTTAAAATACGAAATCTAAATTAAGGCGTGGTTTCACCATTGCAAATTCAATGGCAAAAGCCGTCAGCTAAACATAAAGCACGTTTTCATGTAGAGATACAATTTTAATAAAAACTATATGTTAATCGATTTATCACGACAGGTAATAATGTAGTAAAAAGTGAAAAGAAAAACTATTTAGTTACAACAAAATTACCATGTATTATTATGTGTTTATTTTACATCTCATCTTTGTATATCTTTGTTGTTTGTAACAGCCAAAACGAATCGAGTTAGATATAGACAAATGTATACATAAATGATCAGAATGAAAGGAATCGATTAAGCCGTGACTGTCTTTCCGTGCGTCCGTGCACACGAAAACTCGAGAAAAAATTGAGATATCTTAACGAAACTTGGTATGTATATTTCCTTCGAGCGTATGATGGATGGTATTGAAAATGGGCAAAATCGGACAATAACCACGCCTGCCTCCCATATAACGGTAGTTTCCAGAAATACGCAAATTGCGATATTTTAGTGACTACTGAAGCTCGTTTACTCAAAATAGAGATTTGCAATGATATTTAGGCGGAAAATATTTAGCCCCGCCCACTTATGATTACACGTGCATTAAAGACAGCGCAAAGACACCCTTCAAGCAGTGTACTTCAATGAAGTGTTGACATCAAAACAAAATGTTCTATAGCAATCTGCGCAACAATACAAACTGGCGACACGATATCGAACAGAAAGTATCGATATGGTACTCATTTAAAGGATCGCTTTAAAAATATCGGGTACCCATTAATATCGGAATAAAAAGACTCGATATTCCAAATATCGATACCAAAATCCAAAAAATGTATCTGAATATAGGCCTCGTATATAGGCCGCTGTGGTGTAATGGTTAGAAGTGCGCAAAGCTTGAAAATGAAAAAAAGCTTCCCAGTAAAACATAATCGCCGTTCAGAATCGACCTAAAACTGTAGGGACCCCTTTTGTGCCACAACATTAAGGCGCGCGCGACAAATCGGAGGAGAATCTCGGTCAAACACTAACATATTGTGTAACAACACGTAGAGATTGAGGTGTTGACTTAAAACACCGAGGCCCCGGGTTCAAAATCCACCACATGCAATCCTAACTATATTACAAATTTCTGCTCTTTAAAGTCCAATTTATATCGGGAAGAATTGTTAATAACAATATCCTTGTAATGTGAGTTTATGCCATTCGATACGATACTAGGGTTCTGGTACTCGATTCCAAAAAAAGATCGTTTTAAAACTATCGAGTAGAAAATATCGGTATCGAATGCCAAAAGTATCGATATGGTATCGTATCGTATCGAAATTCGTGTACCTAATACAAACACTTCAGCATTCGAAATAGAGTTTGCTGCAGCGAGGGCATACTCTGCTTTGTCCCAAAGGCAAAATTATAATAAAATAAGGTGCTAGAATATTTAAGTAGTATACGTTTTTGTAAAGCTAACATAGTCCCTTTAATAGCTTTCTACAAGAAAGCTGCAGCCAGTAAAAAACCAGCAGCAAAAAAAGCATTAGCTGCTAAGAAGTAAATTTGTATGTAGGGAATGAATGCATATTCTCGGAACAAACTTAAAATGTTATAAAAAAAAAATTTAAATTCCGTTTTTAGTATATTACCTCGAAATTTAATAGTTTTGTTTAATACTGCACGTACAAAAAACCTTAATAATATTTGGTAAATGTTTTATGGAAAAGTTTGTGCCATCGAAAACTTTTGAGATGTTTTTATTGGAACACCCAAAATTGCTAAAGTCTGGTAGAGTGAAAAAAAATAACAATAACTGATTTTTTTATTTGCTATTTTCCGAGCTTTAATAGAACCTGTGAAGAAGTTTTAGATTTTCCTGCCGGAACTGTAAAAGTTATATGCATTTTTAAGCCACATTTCTTAAGTTTCAGAAAAAGTTATAAAGAGCTAAGTTTATGGTATTGCCAACAATGAAAAAAATTAAGGTGTTAAATTTTTTTAATATTTGGGCAATTCACAAGGTGTCGTATTTGTCGTGTTTGTCGTGAAGTCATGATATTTCATGACAGTTGTAAAAATGTTGTTATTGTTTTGTGAAGAAAAATAACACATGACGATACAACTCTGCAACCTATGTTTATTCGGTGTTATGTGAGGTTAAGTGCTGAGATATAATAAATAATCGTAACAGGTGTTCAGAACCGTCGTGTTTTAACACAACTTTTGTTAGGAAAATATAACTTCACAACACCTTGTGAATTGCCCAACTATAAATAATAATTTTTTTTTGGCAGAAACCCTAAAATTTAAAAAATATTGACAAAATTAAAAACATATATAAATAAAAAGTAGGCGAGTTTTTATTTTTCATTTAGATACTTCGTTAGGAGCAGAGACCATAACGATTATAAGAAATAAAATTAAATATTGTGCATAATTATTTCTGAACAATGGCAAAGTTGTTTTCGTCTCCTGAGACGAACATCGTTAGACTAAAAACTTTTTCATCTGCTCCTAATAATTATCTGTGACTCTTAATTTTTTCGTCTCGCGAGACGATTATTTTACCATGGAAATTATTTTCGTCTTCTCATAATAACACCACGGTGCTACAAAAAAGCCATGAAATCCACTCGAAACAAAACGTAGTGTAGGTTGTAGCTATGTATGTACAACATAACAATAGGTTCCGTATAGTTCCTGAACACTCCATTTTCATTTTATTTAAAAACAACCGTTACGTTCGTACTTGACGCATTTACTTATTTACTTACTACTTTTCATCCTGATTTCAAAAATTTCTACGAAAGTTCCCAAATATGTAGTGTTTGCCTAAAATAACACTTTTAAATAAATTGATACCTCACTTAATGAAATTGCATAAAAAATGTCGAGGTTAAGCAAATTAAGCAAAAATACGACCTTGAATTTATTTATGTGTATGCGCCGGCCGTTCAGATTTTTTGAGCAGTGTGGCTAAGGAGTTTATCAATATTTACTGAAAATTTATATATAATGGCTCTTAAGACCCCACAGGATCCGGGATCCTCACAGTGTATGTACCGGACTTTCAGATATTTTGAGCAGGGTGGCTAAGGAATTCATCAACATTTACTAAAATTCGATATCGTCAAATCAAATATGCGTATCTCAAATACTACTTCACCGATCTCGACCAAATTTGATATACACGTTGTGCTTAGTCTCCTTAAGCAACGTGTTGATTGAAATCGGGAAATCGGGCAAAACCTGCTCCCCTAAAATATAGCTAGCTTTGAGTTTTTTGAAATTACCGTTATGTGGGTGGAGCACCTTAGTTTTGGCCGATTTCAAAAATAATCTACACGGTGCTTAAGGAGGCTAAGCACAATGTGTCAAAATCAAATTTGGTTGAGATCGGTCAAGTAGTTATTGAGACACGCATATATGATATAAGAGGGCGGTGCCACGCCCATTTTCCTAAAATTTTATGAAAAACTAAATTTGTGCTAATGAACCATGGTATGTATCGAATTTGAGTAAATGTTGATGATATCCTTAGCCACCCTGCTCAAAATATCTGAAAGTCCGATACATACATTGTGAGGACCCCGGATCACGTGGCCCTGGGCCCCACAACAAACTTTTTATGTACATTAGGGTGCTCAGCGAAAATTCTTTTTTGGAAATTTTAAGACCCTACCCCTAATTTTATTCGTTTTTACGAGAAATATTATTCCGTATTTTTAGAGATTTTTTAGAGGTCACTTAGAGAACGCGACCTGTCGAATTAGGTCAGAAAATAGGACTTTGTAGATTTATGAGTCTTTGAATATGATCTGAAAGCAGGATATATAGGCCTTTAAAATGGTGTATAATAATCTATTGTCGAACTAGGCTTGTTGAGATTTTTTATCGGGTGAATAAAAAAGACCCATATTTCCCTGAATAAAAAAGACCCATATTTCCCTTAATTTTTTTATATTTTGACAAGGGCTGTGCGATTAATTGATTACTCAAAATTTGAATTAATCATAAAGTAAATAACTCAATTATTCGATTAATTGGAAATTATGGTTACTCAAAAGTTCAGTTACTCGAGTAATCAAGATTTTTGATTAACCAAAAAGAAAAATATTTGAATAATTTGCTTTATGATTAATCAACATTTCGAGTAAAATGAGTAATCAACATTTCAACTATTTACATATGTATAAAGTAGTTAAAGTTCCTTGATACTTTGAAAACAACGTTTCTGTTTTCAAAAATTAAAACGAAAAATTTTTTCATATACAGAATGTAAAAAAGAAAATAAGCATTTTCCAAAGTAAACTCTTTTAACGAGCAAAATTATTTTTTTGAGTAATCATATTTCAAGTAACTCGATTAATCATCGTTTTGAGTAATCAAAATCTTGATTACCCGAGTAATTGATTAACCGAATAATTGATTAACCAACTTGCTCGAGTAATCGAATAATCGCACAGCCCTAATTTTGACTACTATCTAAAATTAAAGCTATTTTCAAATAAACTTATACCCCATTTATTGCAATCGCATAAAAATTGTCGAATTTAGGCGACTTTTCTTAAATACGGCCTTGAATTTATATTGTGTATGTACCGGAATTTCGAATTTTTTGAGCAGTGTGGCTAAGGAGTTCATCAATATTTATTCAAAATTGATATATACAATCGGTCTTTAGCAAAAAAGTGGGTTTTCCAGAAGTTTTACGAAAGTGGGGGTGGCACCGCCCACTTATATGATATCTGCTATAAAGCTACTCGACCGATCCCAAATAAATTTGGTAAACACATAAGCGCCATATTGAAAATTTTTGAAATCGGACAAAAACCACTGGCTCCACCAACGTAACGGTAATTTCAAAAAACTCAAAGCTAGCTATATTTTTAGGAGTAGGTTTTGTCCGATTTCAAATATATTCAAGACGGTACTTAAGAAGGCGTGTTCCAAATCTGGTCGAGATCGGTCA